TAGACACTGCAAATTTTTGACCTTGGCAGCAGACTGTTCCAATTTTCAGGGAGTTGTGGTTGGAATTATTAAGTTAATAGAAGCAGTTTCCACCTACATTATGAACATAGTTGTTTAATATATACCCACGTCCCTAAAGCAGCCCTTGCAACATCTCCCCCTACCACTTTAGAAGACAATAGTAAAGAAACCGTATGGAAAAGATGGGGAACGGGAGGGGGAGCCCTTGGTCTAAAGAAGGGGACCATAATGTATCAGAACATGGGAAAGTCATTTGGGGGGGAGATTAATAGCATCAAGAGATGAAAGGCTAAAAAGGAGCACTGCTTCATATGCAATATGGGTATGCATGTCATAACCACTCATATATTCATCAAGACAAAGCAAACCCCACCAAAATTGTCTTTCATAGCACCGATACAGAGCAAAATTCAGACCAGTTTTTGTGATTTTTGCTGTGTATTTCCATCTTTTAAAAGGGATTGGGGCTGGGGACTGCTGTTTCATGTTTCGCTTTTTAAAATAAATACTTTTTGCTTTTTAAACACTTTGCAAATGAGCAGAATAAACGAAGACATTACAGCCTGTAGCTGCTCATGATTGCCAAGATACTGAAAATTATCATGCCCACAGAAGAGCTGGGGAACGAACAAGCCCTCCTACACTGAAGGCAGTGAGCAGGCTTAGTTTAAAATCACCAATGGAAGGAGATTCAAGCTAAGCCGTCCGACTTCACACAAACACAGATCACGGAGCACTCCTCCATTCCTGTTGTTTCTAGCTGATCTATGTAAAGGACTGCTTTTAGCTGCAGCAGAAACATCTTAAACTACCCCAGTTAAGTCCAGAGGAGGGCATCTGGTCAGGCTTTACCATTTTTGTTTCCTTTGCAATCCATCTCAGGAAAAAATTTTACTGTATAATTAACAGAGACACCTTCACAAGCACACTTCCCCTCTGCACCCCTTTCCCTGGAATATTATTAAACAAAAGAAAAAAGACAAACCAAGCCTTTGCTGACAAAAGGCACAAGAAGTAGTGAACCGCTATTTGCAACGCTTCTAACTCTTAAGACACAACAGGAAAATACAATTACAGGCGCAAACCACAGCCAGCAGTGAAAGGCAGCCCATCACCTTGGCTGGAAGGCTGCAGCTTGCCAAAGGCATTCAAAGAGCAAATAGCGCTGCTGAGTTGGGAACAGGAATTCCTGGCAGCTGATGCCTCCGCAGGCGGAAGTGATTCTGGTTCAAATACTTCCTTTACCACTGATAACATGCTCCTACCGCCTGCAATGCCAAAGCTTAACAGATAAGGAGAGGATCTTCCATGCACAGTAATCCAGTCCTGTTCCGACAGGGGTTTATTTTTAGAAGGCAGCTACAGAAATGCAAACACAGAGAGACAGAGACCGTGCTGTTTGAAGGGGTAAATCTGTGTCAGATGAAAGATTGCTGAAGTGGTATGAATGAGCATTGCAGCACTTTCCCTCTTTTAGCAATGGGTTTTCAGGGAGCAAAGAACATTATCTGGGAAGTGCAGAGCTGATCAGCTCTCCATATTCCATTACTAAAACCTACTCAACTAAAGATAATTTCTTAATTCTTTCAAGTGAAGAACGAAGTCTTTATTTCTGGCAGGAAGTAAAGATATTTATGGAATACCTAATCACTATTTCTCCTGTTTATATTCATGGCACATAACACTAAATAAAGTAAAATTACATTTGTACCATGTTAGGGGGGGAATCATTCTACTTTGTATAACTTAGCAACATAAGACATTTGTTGAAATAGTTTAATTCCTATGTATTAACAAGCCTTCAAGCTCACTAAACCGCAGTGAGACTATGTGACACGACTGCGGTACTGAGATACTCAAATTACACGTGAATGAGTTAACTTGTACAGCGCTACAGCTGAAACACAAAACCTGGAACATGCAATCAAATTAGCCTGGGCTGAGCACCACGCTCATGCACTGAACTTCAGCTCAAACTCCTCTCTGGAAGATGCTGCGCTGTTTAGTGTGTACACATCAACTCTTTCCATGTTAGTTCAGCTATCTGCAATACACCGCACGGTGCTAGAACCACCCGAGCCCTTAAGAAGGAAGCTTTTCCAACGAGCAGACCCTGAAATCATGCTTAAATTTAATAAGCTGCCTTAGAAACTGTCTGTGAACTTAAAATAAGTTACATTGGGATGATATAGGCGCTTCTGAAGTTAATCGTGCGGTGAGCTGATGCAACGTGCATCTTTCTGGCCAGACGCAGATAAGGTTAAAATACATGCTGGTGAAAGCAGTATAGCAGAACGTTTCTGAAGAGAAAAAGCATCCCAAAATGCACCTAGTTTTGTCAGCATGGTGCCAGGATGAGAAGAGAACAAATCCTTTTTTATACATCTCAGAAAGTTAATTTAAAACGATCTCATGAGGTGAAATGCCAAGATATTAATACCGATTGCACCATGAGACCGTATTATAAGTGACATAAACGTTACAAAACAATCTGAGATTTGGCCAGGCTGTTAATAGACAGCATTACACAATTCCTGACACAGCCAGATAATACCGCATTTCTACTATGCAAATTTTTAACAGTGAATAGATTTTTGAAAGGAGTTTACACCCACTACTCCTCAGATGCAACTCGGTAATTCGCTATTAGGTGCCAAGCTGTCATTTACAAGTCAATTCAGCCTACTGCTATTCTCTAGTCTACCTTGTTACCACAAAGGTATCACCAATGAATGCCACTTGATTAAAATGTATGAGCCCTAGATGAAACTATTTTTAAGTCTGTAAACTGCTGTTGTATTAATAGTTTTGATTTATTTTGCCATTAATACTGGTCTTCTCCTACGAAGCAAATACCGTAATTCCCTATCCTTTCATACTTCAGGAGCAAAGCTCTGTTCTTAACATATTTTTATCCGTATTACAAAGTCATTAGACTGTGGGAATCTATCACAAACCTTGCTTAGAAAAAGGGACAAAAGGCATGGAGCTGGTACTTAGGGCCTGATTCACCTTATTCAAGCACATGTTTTGATTACGAATTTGTAAGCATGTACGGTTTTTCAGAGGTAGCAGTGGAAACAGAGAATTGACCCCCCAACACCCACACAACCACACTTCTGTGACAGTGCCTCCCACGCTGCTGTCGTCCACGGTTCTCCCGGCTTCACCACACAGACACCATGAGAGAAAACAGCTCAGGGGTCTGACGTGGCTCAACAACCAGTACTACTTTTTCTTCCTGAACTCTCCTTCCCCTGTTACTGTTTTTCAGCCAGACCACTCCTCTGGTTACAGCAGTTGGTAACCTGTTTGTGCCAGAGGGGACAACAGACAGGACAACGGAGCAGGAGCATGGAAAGCTGTAGGTGCAGCAATGACTCCACAAAAATGAGTGCTACACAGCACCAGCTCCTGCTTGTGGAAACTTCCCACCCGAACATGCCTCAGGTTTGTTGGCAGAACAAAATAAAGAAAATCTGTAAGGAATATATTATATGATTTTGCTTCTCCCTCTCACAAACGCAAAAATCTCAGCGTATCAACCCTACAAGTATGCCCTGCCACTCTTAAAACATTCCAAGAAATGCTTAAACCCACAAAAGAATTAAATTATTTGTCTTCAAAATGCTTTAAATACTAGTGCCATGCAAAGGCTGTAATCTCTCTCTAGCTTGCACATTGTGCTGACTATCTCTGAATGACAGAAAGGATAACTCAGGACCACAAGATGCAAAACACATCTGTGTGTACACAGAATCCTGCTTAACACCTACTCCAACATAAAACTTCTCTCCAAAATGACTGAAAAATTAGTGGTGTCAAATCAGAAGATTACCAGGAGACAAAAAGTAGAGACATAGATTAGCCACACTATTCTATGCACAGAAACTGAAAAGAAAGAAACGGTTTTGCTTCGAAAGATTGAGGACTGCTCCTGTTTGCATCAGCAGCCCATCTTCAGAGACCTCGTTAAGAACTGAGCTTTTTGCACTGGTGTCCTCTCAAGACCACTGTTTTGTCCAACAAGCTCTGCCTTTGCGTGCGTGTGTGTGTGTGTCTGCCAATGCACACACGTGCTCAGTAGAATGGACATACTTAAAGCCACTAAGTGTGAATAATAGTAGATACGAGCCCCGAATAGGACCCAAACTCCTTCTCAGTAGGAATTTTACAAAGACAGAAAAAGCAGGTGCATAATTCTGCTTGCAAAACTGTCAAGTACGAAAACATGAAAGGCTGGTAAATAATTCACTCTATATTACAGGAAATGTTTTACAAATGAAAAGGTTGTAACCTCTTTTTGGCTACAGGGCTGGCAGATGCTGGAGGGATTCCTGCTTCTCTAAGTGCAGAACAAGATGTGCCCTGTTATGAGAAACTAGCAGTGACTCTTGGTTCCCAGCCCTCCCCGGCACTGCTCAATGAAAAATGCTTCTGCCTATATTTCTGATGGATGGATCACAAAGGAGTGAAGCCTCCACACTGCTAGAAATGCAACTCAGGCTGACTAGCAGTTTCTTGTGTTCTGATGACACAGCTGCTGCAATGCACAATGCAGAGCTGAGATAACATGAAGAAAATGGATAAATTCGAATTATTTATATTTACATAAATACGTTCACACAATTGTTTAAAGATACACACACAAAAGCCAAAAATATGCATGCAGTTATTACAGATGACTCAGTAATGAATGTTTGATGCAGTCTTAAAACCGTGACAGCAGTCCAATCCAGTGGAAATAAAATCATCTCCAACCTCAAAGGGGTGGCCACACGGCTGAGGACAGATTCTGGCCCAGTAAACGGAAGCAATTCCAAAGAGACCCTATCGCTTTAACTTCTTATCACTAAACATTTTGCAACAAACTAAACAAACCTTAGTGGAGGTCCCTCTACCACCACCCCCCCCACCACCAGGTCAGCTGGTAGCCAAACACAGTGATGTTTTGTATATAAAAGAAAGCTGAAACTCACCTGTATGTTGCCAAAGTCCACGTTTTCATAATGGAAATGTGCACATTCAGCCATCTTCGGGAAATGACCCTTTGTAAAGGATAACCTGAAGCACATCAAAAGCACACTGTAAGATAGATGCAAATCACTGAAACAATGCTCAGCATCAAGTACTCTTATCAATGCAGTTACTGATATAAAATAGTAACGACTTTCTCATCCTACAGCCGAGGGAACAGAGGGGTTTGTTGATGTGATGCACCAAAACAGTGGAGAAAGGAATTGAGTGAGAAAGGAAAACTAAATTGCAAAGTGGCTTTTATCATTGCAACCTTCAAGAATTGTGTGGCATTTCGTCAACACCAAAGCCCACATCTTTAAGAAACGGTGCAGGGACAAGCCGCTCTACCTTTACAAATGCATTATTTTTGCAGTGCAAATAAACAGCCTTACACGAGACACATAGGAAAGTAGAACTTTACCTGTGAAAGGCATCACAGCCCATCAGTCCCGGGTTGATGTATCTGAGGGTGCAGAACAAACGCTATTTATCCTTTGCCTTTTTAAAATTCAAAAGTGAGGCATAATTATTCCCAAGTGTCTCCAGCTACAATGATGGCTGACGGGGAGATCCTCTGGCTCTGCAACATGCTCTTGCTTCTGCTGAAGCTATTATAGACTCCTATAGATATTTCTGGTGGTGAGCCAATGAGATTGTCATTATCTAGCTCTCTCTTCCCACGGGAATATAAGTGGGAAGGGAGATGCAGCATCTGGCTGCTCAGCACTCGAACAAAGAGCCATTTCCCTTACAGCATCAGAGCACTACAGAGAGGTGATCTGAATGCACAGATCAATCAGTATTGGGGAGTTCTGGTCCTCAAGTCAGCATTCTTAGCAAAGATAAGTCAAGCAATATTGATTACTTTTGATCCCCTTTGCAGGTTAGAGATTTGAAACCTTAGCTGCAAGCATAACAAGTTGGTTTACATTCTCTGGGAGAGAATGAGAAAGACAGAGAGAGAGAGAAAGACAGTGTAAGCCCACAGAAAAAAAACATACGGGAGATCAGAGAAGGAAAAAATACCCCTAAAAAATAAAAATTGTGCAAAAACCATTCAAATGAAGAGGTACAGGGCAGAATGCAAAAAAAAGGAAAAGAGAAAAAATATAAAATAAAAAATATATTCTAGGCCACCCAGTTGTCCTGGTTTAGATTCCCAGAGCATAGGGAGATAGGGAAAATGATCTCATTTATACATTGCCTGGGCTTCTCTTTAGGTTTCTTCATAAGTATGGTTGTTTTTTTGTTTTTTTTTTTTTAATTAATCTGTTTCAGGAAGAAATCACAAAAATTAAAAATACAGTAACTGTGAGGTTGAAAACTCTAACAAGCTTTGCTCTTATGGCGAGAAACAGGTGAGAGCACCATCAAAACCTCTCATGCCCCCAGTTTTAGATTACATTAGCTATAATTTACTTAGTTTCGCATGGATTTTGGTTGCTCAGATGAAGATACTATGAAAAATCCTTGCCGAATGCCCTAGCTGTATTGCAGCACAGTAGCTAAAACCCAGGATATCAAAACTAGAAGCCCAGCAAAGACAGGAAAATCCAAGAACACTGCTCTTACTTTTTTACATTCTTCACTTTCATACTTGCTGTGCTGCCACAGGTCCGGAGCGGCAACTCCCCTGGAATGTCAGGGATATCTGCACCTCTTGCCTGCAAAAAAGAAGAAAGAAAAAGCAAGGGTCTTAAAATTTGACTGCACGCTATGGACTACCGCCTGCTAAGCAGCAGCTCATATATTTTTACGTATATGTACAAACACAGCTCAAATCTCATATATGCTAGGAATTGTACTTCTGCCTTTTTAACATGGAAAACAAGGAAAACTGAACCTCAGAATTATGATCTAGTATGTGATTATCTCTTCCTGAATCATGTTGCAGAGCCTTGCTGATTCTTAATAATAACTGCGAGATCCAGTATTTTATTCATTACTACTTCTGGTTTCTAAAGAAGAGATTTTCAGAGGTAGGAGTCTAACATACATTCCTAAAGTCCATACTTAGACTCCTCATTAAGTACCTGATTTTCCAAACATGAGTGCACTTAGATTCAGGCAGAGGCACCAGAAGAAGCTGGAGAGCTCATACAGTGGAAAATCAAGTTAATGACAGAGCTGCTTATATGTGGGAGGTGAGCTTTTAAGCTATTGGAGTTTGAAGCTATTGGTATAAGTGCATGAACATATTAAAATTCCTTAATCACTAAAATTAATTTATTTTAGTGAGGCCAGAACTCCAAACTCCCTCTTCTCATTTCTTCTGTCATGCTTTCCCATCCTCTCCTTCCTCCAGCTGCTTTTTCATAAGCCGTGAGCTCTGCTGGGGCAGCATTCACCATCACAGGGGTCTCTGAAACACTCAGTGCCACGTGTTTCTCTTGCTGTGCTGTTCCAGGCCCTGAGCTCTAGAGGAATGCGGGGTTTCAGGTGAGGCTTTTATGAAGGGAGCAGTGCTCAAAGAAGATCACCACAGACTTCACAGAGCAGGAGGAGAAAAATATGGTCCCTGATGTTGGTCAGAGATAGCTCATTAGTGGGTGAGACCAGCTGAATGAGCTTTTTTCTGCTTTATACAAAACATGAATAATGTCCAAAATAGTGAATGCTCAAGCAAGAGGAAGAGAGGCACTTCGGTATTCCCTCTCTTACAGGCCTGGAACAAAAAATCCATTTTCTAATGACAGGAGTAAATAGACGATTTCCCTGAACCCAGAAGACCAGTACCAATGCTTCTAAGCTGGTCCACCAGAAGATGTCTGAACAGAGATGATCAGTCCCAAAGCTGTTACATATAACAGAATACAGTTGTAGAATGCAATGTAAAATATGGAAACAACTTGGTCCTCGCCCCCAAAACTCTGGAGTCACACAATTACGATTCAAGCTAGCAGCCCACATACGGGACGAACAATGGGGGAATCTTTCTTATCCCGCTCCCTGAAGCTCTCGCTTTAGCTTGACATGGGTCAAATTTACATGTGCTTCACCACATCATAAAGAGCTGCAGTAAATCAGTCAGAACCATATAGTCAGTGCCTATATTCATTAACTAAGAGCAACAGAGCTAAAGGGAGCGATTCATCTCGTTCAACTCCAGACATGCACGAGGTACGCAGCTACAACCCTGTTATCTGCCCAAGGCTACTTTTACAGTCACCAGAGATAAAGAGGCACTTTGGGTCCGGTTCACCTACTTCAGATGACTAGATTAGGACAAAAGCAACCATGTTGCAGGAGTATCTATTTCTCCTTGATACCGGGAATCCAGGATGACCCCGGCTCAGATGCAGACATACATCGTAGAAGCTGTATTCATCCAACCAACACCACTGCGGCTTACGTAGGGCTTGAGCAGAGCACGTTCTCTGCACCCAGACAAACCCCTGTTATGTCCAGCACTGCCCTCGGAAAAGGGATGCTGCAGCTACGACGAGTGAGCTCCCCCCTTTCAACATCACTGAATAAATCTGAAGCCAGGACACCGACTCTCACAGTCGCACCTTTCACAGCCCTGAACATAAGCAATGCTTTAATTCCATTGTCCCACAGCGGTACAGAACATGCGCACACACTCACTGAAGAAAAACAAGGACAATATTTATATCCTTAAATAAACCTATCTTTGGCTGACTGACTGTTACTAAGCACACAATTACTTCATTATGGAATAGGACACTTGAGAGTCTCATTGTGAATTTTAACATTAAGAGGATCACCAATTTAATAAACCTTATAGGTCTTTTACGTAAGAAAATAACTAATTACAGTAATAAATGTGTCATTCCTGTAAGCTGCTTTTAGGCAAAGCTGGATGTGCTTGCCTTAATTTTCTAAGGAACAGAATTTCTGTAGGAAGAAAAATAATTTTTCTTCTCCATCAGCAGTAGAAGCTGGTGGGATATAAAAATGAATAAACAAATCTGTCAGAAAAATGTGGGCTTCAAGCCAGTTTGCAGCAGTGGGTAGAGACTACCCTGGATCTGACTCAAAGCAGCGTAGGCAAAACTCACACCTCCAGGAGACTTAAATGCCAGCATCTCTCTTTGAAAAAGTTGTATTATCCTCCTCTTTCCATTTGAGTTATGTCCAAATCGTGCTGGAAGGAGATATCTGCCTCTCCCATTTCCAACAGCGTGTATCCGGTTAAATGGACTACAACGGGATGCAATACAGTAATTAACTTCGGTTGCTTTTCCAATTAGATCTGAGCTCTTTGGACTCTGCTGCAGAACAACAATCTCATAAGTCTCACAGTTGAGGAAAAAGGGCAGAACGGTGATCTTGTGCAAGCTAAAATCTTTAGTATGAGGTATTAACACCAGAAAAAACTTGGTGAATAGATAGATAAGCAAAAAAGAAACTTATTGCAATTTTAGAAACCGTATTATTCCAAAATAAACTGCAACTACTTTCCATTTAAACCAAAGATACATAGCTACATAAAAGCAAACTTTATTCACCACTAGTTTGTACCTGTTTTGATCCAAAACCTGGCATGCAAAATGTCACCCTAGATTACCCTCCTCTCAAAATACAAACAAAACACTCCAAATGAGATTTGTCATCTTTTGTGCTTTGTGTCACAGTAATTTAATTTTTAAAATCATTTTGAAACAGTTGAATTATTTACATCTGAAAATTAGCTAGCTAGCATCATCAGTTGCTTCTCACTTCCCTATTTTCTATGCATCGGTGTTCTGTGGAAACCCAGTAATTGCATAGCAAATCTGTTTATGCAAATTATTTAGTCCAATTTTCACAGCTTAATGTCACTGCTGCATAAATCTGCTTTGGTCCGAAACTGGGTAAACAAATTAGGACTCGATCCAGAACGCAGTCGCTTGACTTCATCAGGATCCTCAATCCTCTTGCATTTCAGCGGAAGGCTTTCGAGCAACACCACTTCACCAGTCTCCCCTGAACTAAGATACTCTCCCACGAAAAGCCCACTAAAGACTACACTTATATTAGCAGCAGTTGGGACAATATTTGAGAACTTCAGTATTTTATAACAGACGCACCAAACGCGAGGCAGGTAGCTACCACTACAATGTTTGCTCTGAGCAGTTTGGGAGAACGCCTGGCTGTCTGTCTCACCCCCCGACGGACGGTCATTCCATTTTTAAATCATCCCAGCCATTTGCTCGGTGGGTATCAGGAGGACCCCTGAAGCACCTACATCACTTGTGCAATTTTCAAGTGTTGCCGCTAAACTCCCTGGGAATCTGAGAGCTCTTACAAGTCAGGGTGTCCAGCTTTAAGCACCCAAGTTTGAACTTTTTGGTCTTCATATTTATAGACACGATTTGGAAAACTTCAGCTTTGCACTCTCTTGCACACAAAACCTTAGTCATAAATAATTTATATCCAACAACTCCACTGCATAATATGAAAGGATTTTTGTCTAAAAAGTCTCATGGCATTTATCAGAAAACATGTCAACCTGTCTCCCTCACATCCAGAAGTGTAACACAATTTGAAAATACACGTAAAATTAAAGAAAACAGTCCAGTGAACATGATGTGATAAAGTTTACACCTTGCTATCCCCAACAGGGGAGAATATTGAACCCATGCAAAACCCACGGCCCTCCTCCTACTGCCACAGACTTCCACTGGGATGCACAAGAAGAGAAGAGAGGGTGGAATCCCACCAAGCTCCAGGAATCCCATACCTGATGAAGTGGTTTTCCACAATACTACTATAAAACCCCTGAGGAGGTACTATATGCAGGAACGGATACAACGCAAGACTTGACAGATCAGCATGTACCCAGGCTACTGAATTCAAGTGGATTTCTGAAGGCGGAAATTTACTCTTAATCCAAGGTTAACACAAGGCAAGAATAACTATTAGACAGGCAGTAAAATTTATGCATCTTCCTACCATCAGTCTCTCACCAAAACCAGTTTGGAGGGACCAGATTGCTCTGGATTCTTTCAGCACATGGCCTTGTTTCTAAAAATAGCAGAGCTGATTCAAAATGCTAGTTGGTTTCCATGACAGTCTCTCCTTTACATCATCTTCATTTCCCCTCCATTTTCTTGGAGGGGAAAAAAAAAAAAGAGGGGGGAAAAAAAAACCCACGACAAAACCTCCCAGAGGTTTCCAAAAAAACCCGAGCTTTGTTAGAGTTTTACTTCTTTACTGAAGAACAGCAGGAAACAGAAGTGTTGTTTCAGTAAAAGTCATGACTCTGGTGAGTAATGGTCTACTTAACTTAGGCGAGAGGATGAACTGAAGGGGCCAGTATACACAGTTCGGTATCTGAAGTGGGTGTTTATGCACAAGGACATCAACAGCTATTCCAAATCTTGGGTACCAAGTAGCTACACAAACTGGCTCGGCATCAACTTCTTTTCAGAGCTTCCTTTGCAATGTTAAAAAGAAACTGTCCCACAAAAATCCCCTGACTACTACGAGGTAAAAGATGATAGCTCCATCCTGCTTTTACCAGTTACTGCTCAAGAGCCAGCCTGAAGCACAATGAAAGAATAAATATGGTTCATCTCAGCTTCATACTCCACAGCCACTAACATACTCCAGGGAAAGAAAGCTCTCTATTCTCACTTTATGTGTCTTAACAACTATCCTGGTCCTCCACAATAAATAAATCACCAGAGCAAAGGAAAAATGCTTTGGCTAAACTGAA